GGTATTGAGCAGCTGATGACAGTCATCCCAAGTGGGACGGTGTGTATGCATGATGGACTCCAGGAGATCTATGAGACGCTTGGGTCTTCGAAAAGGGCGGGTTCTGCGTCCTCCAGTTATTAGATCACTGGAGGAGAAGGGCCAGTACTGAAACTGTTGCCCCCTCCCGGTCCCCTTGGCCTACCATCCGGACTGGAAGTGTAGGGACAGTTTCCTCCCCCTGTGTTGATGAGGGGGCCCGTCTTCCCCCTCCCTTTCCCGAACCCTCGGGGCGAAGTCTTCACCCATTCCTCCTCCTGCTGCCAGTCCTGTTGAGGAGGATGAGGAAATTTCCTCCTCCGGGGCACTGGCTTGGCCAGGGGGAGTCACGTATGGAGGTGGCCGATCTTCCTCTGCCCCTGCGAGGGATGGGTAAAGGGGGGAACTCTCTGGTAAGACCGGAGATGGTAAGGGAGGTGCCCTATTCTGAGGACCGGTCAGGGTGGGAAGAGGAAGTTTCTCCTCCTTTATGACCAAGGCGGGCGTGACTGGGGTTTTAGCCCTGGGAGTCGAACTCGAGGGGTGAGTCAAAAAAGCTGTTAACCAAGGGGGAGGCTTCCTCGCCAGATCCTCCCAAACCATAATGTAAGGGACTTGGTCTGGATGGCCTCGATTGTCTGGCCGAAAAATGACTGCTTTAACCTTAGTGATCAGGTCTAGGGAGAGGGAATCTTGAATGGGCCATCCGACTCCGAAGGTAGGCCACTCTGCAGAACAAAAGGTGTTGAACTTACCTTTCTTGATGACCAGACCTGCATTTAAGGCCCTTTCTTTAACTTCTGAAAAGTGAGAAAGGATCAAAGACTTTGGGGTTGTCTGTCCCTGTCCCATTGTGGAAGGAGAATCAAACACCAGGAGAGATAGAACAAAAAGGGTGAAGACAACAATAATTCCACACACACAAAACACTCTCCAGCACTCGCTCGGACCGGTCCTTCTCTCACACTGGTGCACACCCCATTCAACCTCCTCACTGTCCGACTTGGATATCAGGCCGAAAGGCGTCCACTTGATGGGTGGTTGGTCGACTAGCTCAATTAGTTCTTCACCTGGCGCCAGGGTTCCTAAAATGCTCGAGCCCAAATGAGAGGAGAACCTCTCCCAGCAGGACCCTGCGGTCCTCCTAATGAAATTCTCAGAATAGAACTCCCTGGGGATTGGCCAAATCCCCGCCGCGGCCCAAATGGAACACTCAAGTTCCTCCAAAGGAGGGTTTTGGATCCCCTCCCAATGCCTAGGACTTGAGATCGCCCCTGCTTTCTCGCAAGCAAGTTCTGTCTCTCGAGAAAATGGAATCTCGCTGGGGCTTCCAAATGTTAGGAACGGGATTCCTATTCCTCCGAGAGAGAGCCACGCGTGAATGCAATCAACAAAGCAGAGTTTATTGTTCTGGCTAGCCAGGGTCGAGCTCCCACACGGACACGCAGGACCGGTTAGGAAACACGACCCTGAGCCTCTTTAGGGGAAATCTTATATAGACCACTACCTGCCGTTACAGCAAAAGCCCACGCAACACTTAACCAATGATTTTGTAACATCTTATGCAGTTTCAGCCTATTGAGCAAAAGGTCAGCAGTTGTGCGCATATTTTCGTTATCAACATTGAGCAAGCAGGCAGAGCACATCTTGCACGTACCTCCCGTCATCTTTCGCAACCCACTCACATTCCTCACATTCTATATGCCCGAGCCGAGCCCTGCGGCTCTGCTTATCTTATCTACACGGGGGCATTTGGTACCGGTTTCTCCAACAGGGGGGTGGGGTGGATTCCTATTCCTTTCACTGTCATCTTTGTAGATCTGCCATTTGTCCACTTAATGAGCTGTATGAAAATTTGGCATACAACATATAAAAGATGAAAGAGTGTACTCACATGGTCCAAGTTCTTACTGCAAAATATTACATTTCTTTTGAATGACTGAGAATATCTTATTTTTGTCACTAGAAATATGTTGTTCACTTATTAATTCTTTAGTTTGAGGAAATTTGTCTCATATGTTACCCCTGAAAACTTGTAGCCTAAAATTTTGCTTATGATCAATTCCACCATCATCATTAGAGTCTATTGTGCTGCTGTTTATCTCTTTGCATTCATCTTTTGATTGTCTAAGAATTGTGAAATGTCTTCCTCTGTAAATTTCCTTCTCATTTCTATTAAGGGTGGAAAATAAATTCTGGATTCTAAACTGTGTTCAACAAAGGCTAAAAGTAGGCTATAAATATGGTATCTCCAATCATTTATACTTTATTTGAGAGATGGTGCAGTGTACCCATGTTTATTGAGCACTATTTGCAATAGCCAAGCTATAGAAACAGTCAAGATGCCCCACTATCAACAAATGAATCAAGAAAATGTGGTATTTATACACAATGGAATTTTACTCAGCCACAAAGAAAAATGAAATTTTGTCATTTGCAAGTAAATGAATGGAACTGGAGAACATCATCTTAAGCGAAGTTAGACAGGCTCAGAAGGCCAAACATCGCATGTTCTACCTCATGCGGATTTATAGACCCAAAACAAATGCAGTAACATTATTGGACATGGGTCACACACTAAGGGGAGAACCACACAGGAGAAATAGGGAAAACTTGAATGTAGTTGATGTGCTCACTGTAGAGAAACAAATATAGTAATCTTAAACTGGCAGAGGCCACTATGGGAAGGGGACCAGGAAATACGGAAGAGGTCTGGTAGAGATGAACCAATGTGAGTTGCAATACACATGTGCATGGAAGCAATGCTAGGAATGTCTTTGTAGAGCTATCTTTACCTCAAGTTAGCAAAAACACTGTGTCTTTCTTATTATCTTTTATGTTTTCTCTTCAACAAAATCGGAGAACAAGAGGGTGGAACAGGTTCTGCCTGGAAGTGGGGGGCGGGGTGGCACAAACAACATATACACATGTAAGTAAATGTAAAAACGATAAAAGAAAAAAAAATTAAAACAAAAAGAAGGATGGTGCAGTGCTTTTGGCATTGCAGTAGGAAAATTGAAGGCTAATACAACAGCAGTGTTTAACTTTATTGCTGCGTTATCCTTTTTGGTGATTTCATCATTCTTCCTCTTTATTCTCCTATTTTTTTAAAAAAACATAACTGTAAATAATTTAAGATATAGAAAAAATAAGACCAAGATCTATAATGTGCTGTACATTTATAAAACAGTGCTGTGGATATACAGTTTTTATTATTCTGTTTTTTAAAACATAGATCTAATTTTCTTTGTTCTTTGGAAGACTCTGAAAAGAATAAAATTACAGACTAGAACTCCTCTCAAATAGTAAAGAATTGCTCTAGAAAGAAAGTAAAAAACTACAGGATCCAGTGGATCCTGATGTTATACTAAGGGCTGAGTTGACCAGGAATGAAGGCTATAAAAACGAAGCTTTTATTGTGGAGTCATTTGAAATGTAAATGACACTTACACTTGCAGAGGTTTGCTCCCGCTTGCGTCTTTCTGTTCTGTCACCTTATCTGTACAACATAAACAAAAAGAGTAAATTTACTTTTTTTTTTTTTTTGGTCTGAAGCAGGTGCTTCCTCTTCCTGTTCATTTTATTTGCCCTGTTGTATCTCGCATGTCTCTTTTCCAAGCCTCTTTTCTCTATCAAAGTCCTTGAGCAGTTAGCTCTTGGAGTGAAGTGCATATCTGATGCTCACAGGGCACTGCCAGTGTTCCAGTTGGGAAGTATCTCTAAGAGGTGTGTTTGCCAAGCACGATATCATTGTGTGCAGGCATTGCAGGAGTCTGCCAAACCCAGAGGTAGGTTGCCAGTACAAATGCCACGTTGACATGACATTTACGAGTTTAGAATTTAGAAAAGAACTGGAAAGTGGAACACCCCTCAACTTTCTCATTTAGAGTGGTGGTAACTGGGCCAACATTTTATTTTCAGAGTCAGAAATCGTAGTCAGGAAGTAATACTTCATATAGAATTTGAAGCTGTCACTACAACTTTTTCTAGGAAATGATAAATCCTTTAAGCCTGATTCTGGGATGCAGGATAACCATTATGGTTATGTATGAAGACTCTAGAATAAAACCTGAATTTGAATGGGGCGCTATCACCCCCATGAATCTGAGCAAGTTGCTTAATCTGACCCTGAGCAAGTTTAGGCTTCAGTCTCCTATTGTAAAACAGGGATAAAAATGTCACCTTCCTCATAGGATTTTCAGATGAACTAAATATATTGAAAAGCAAAAACACTCTTCAGAAACCCATGAGAAATTCAGGCTTTCAGTTCTTGTATTTCAGTGGAAATAGAATTTTCTGGGGACACACTGTCACAAGAACTTGTGTAGACTCTCTTCTCGACTTAGTCATTACTGGAACACTATACACAGGCATCTAAGACATACTTTTCCTTTTCTCTCTAGAAAAATTTATGGCTGGAATCAGAGTCAATTGAGTATTAAGGATTTCTGCATTTTTTTAGATGCAGAAACCATTTGGGTATTAAATTCATTTCAAGCCAAGGATGGTAGTACATGTCTATAATCCTAGCACTCAGGAGATAGAGGCAAAGATGGAAGCTTGAGGCCTGCCTGGGTTACTGAGGGAGTTTAGGCCAGATTGGGCTGTATAGGAAGACCATGTGTCAATCCTCCCCCCCAACTCCAAAAAAATAATTCATTTCAGGAATAGCAGCCCTTAAAGTGACATGGAACTTTTCTCTGGCACATTCTAATGCAAAATGAAGGCCTAAAAGCTATTTTGAAGGATGTACTGTGGCTTATTAGGGAGACTACTTTAGGGTTTTTTCATTACCAGCTACTTTGTCTTGATTAAGTCTTTTATCATGATCTGGTACCTAAGTAGGCTTTTTTTGTGGTACTTACATTAAATACAATGCTTGCTATTGCACTCAGTTTATTTCCATTAATCACTTTCAGAACCATGAGTAAATTCTTCCAAATGACAAAATTCTTTTTTTCTTTTACCCCCCTGTTTTTCAGATCTTCAAAGCTGCTTCGGGCATTCTATGTCCCCTTCCTGTCAGATCAGTATACAGTGTATGCAAATTACACCATCCTTAAGCCTCGGAAAGCAAAGCAAATCAGGAAGAAAAGTGGAGGTTAGCAACACACCCGTGGCTCCAAAGGACAGATTCCCCTGACCTGACCCCCTCCAAGTCATCACCTGTAGCATTTGCAATAAAGGTCATCTGACAGGAATACTGGAATCTGGGTGCTTTTGGCTAGTCAATCTATTTCAAAGTCTAACTAAAGTCCATTCACTTCTTGCTGTTTCTTTGTTCTGCATGTAAACTTTTTGCAGATAGGTAGAGAAAAGCCCTAAAGCATGGGTATATATATTGCTCTCCATCTCATTGTTTTTCTTCTGTTCAATTATTTACTAGACCGGAGAAGAGCAGAACCAACTTACACGAAGAATTGAAAATCCCTGGACTGGATGGCTGTGTTAAGCTGTTCTCTGCACTCTGGCCTGGCGTCCGAGAACTAGCAAGCCTGTCTTAAACCAGATGGGCTTCTTCACCAAAGCTGTTTGGCAACTCCAAGCAGACCTTTCTGTTCAAATCCTAGTGCTGAAAAGGAGCACAGGCTAGTTGCCAACTGACAGGTCCTTTTCACCTCCAGCAAGGCTAAACTTCTATATAGCACTTCACAGGACTAGGACCCTGTCCTGGAGCTATCTCAGGAAAAAGGTCGCCATTTGAGGAACTGTAACCTAATTTCATTATACATGATGCCTCTAGATTTCTTTTTATTTCCTTTTCAACCAACTTAAACTATATGGTTGTTTTTGAGGAGTTTTTTTGTATTTTTTTAAGTTTTAGCATGTTATATCTTAAATTCTAGACTCGTCTGTACAAAGGTATCAACAGACTATATAGGGTAGCCTTGGAGAAAATGAATTCTGTCAATTGGGAGGTTTGGGTGACATCACATTCTGAGGCCATTTCTGAGGGAATTAAGAATTTCTTTTTTCTTAACTCTAGTGAAAAGGAGCAGTGTGTATCTATAACATCTATTTTTTAGTTCTGTTTCAAGGCACATCCTGCATGGGGCACTTCTAGTTGAATAGGCAATGATAAGGACCCAACTGAGATGTAAAAAGTATATACTATTGTTTTACCTTCACACACAGTATTTCACAGTTTATAAGGCATTTTCACAACATCTCATTTGTCACAATCACAATGTGAGGTAGACATGGCAGGTGATTTTATCCCCACTTTACAGATGAGGAACCTGAGATTAAGGAGGGGGAGGTAAAACAACTTGTCCAAGGTCACACATTACTCACACGATAAGTAGTTGAGCTGAGACTAGAATCCAGGTTGCCTAACTTCTTATTTAGTGCTCTTCCAAGCTTTCTTATTCATTGATGAAAACAATACTTGAAAGGATGATGAGGCTAACTAGATTGATATTGTAACTTTCTATTTTAAAGAAGAATTTTAGCTATATTTCTTTGAGTTCTTTGGAGCCTCCAACCTGCCTGTGTGTTAGACTACCGCAGCAGTGCTATGTGATGGAGCCAAGCCTGCAGCAGGAAAGTACTGCTTATTTTGGAAGTCATGTTCCTTTGCAGCCACACAGGATCCAACCTATTCCTATCATCATCCATCTGCAGCCACATTATAGGTGCCTTACTTTCCTAAGGGTAACTGACTCTAATGTGAAAATAGGATGAATCTGTTTTTCAGAATTTCCATCTCATTTTTCAAGAGAAAGACTTTTTCAGGTGGAACTGATCCCAAGGAAGGAGAAAAGTGATTATAGGAGAAATGGGTAGTTACCATATAAAAAGTCTCCTTTTGGGGACCCCCCTAAAGGAATATTTTAGTTGGAGTTGAAGCAAAGGAGAGGTAATAGGTCCAGGCAGTATAGAACACGATGATAGTAGAGGAAGACTGGAGTCTGGCTTGCTTGAAAGATTTTATCTGGCATTTAATTCTCAATACTTGATTACTGTTTTTCAGTGCAAATAGTGGGTGTATGATCTGACTGCAAGATAGAGAACTATAAGTGGAGCATCTTGCCTTACTTATGCTACTAGGTGCTCCTTCACAGTGGTCAAGGTCTTCTACTTTTTCAGGAGTATATAAAAGGGTCCAGAAATGGAGCTCAGTGGAGAGTGGCTTTTTTCTAATCAAAGTGGTATGGGCGGCTTGGGTGGTAGGGATTCAGTGGTGCAGCATGTGCTCAGCATGTGTGAATCCCCTGCATTCACATGTACACACCAAAAGATGGTACAGTGCTCATCTATTTTTATCATCTGGTGTGTTTGAAAAAAATTTTACAAAGGCCTTCTGAGCCAGGTACTGGTGGTTCATGCCTATAATCCTAGCTACTCCGGAGGCTGAGATCAGGAGGAGCACTATTTGAAAGCCAGCCTGGGCAAATAGTTCTCAAGACCCCATCTCTAAAATAACCAAAGCAAAATGAACTGGAGGTGTGGCTCAAGCAGTAGAGTACCTGCTTTGCAAAATGAGAGGCCCTGAGTTCAAGCCCCAGTGCCATCAAGAAAAAAGAAAAAGTCTTCTGACCAAGAACTTAATTATAATACAGCACAAACAGGCCAGGATTGATGAAAAGCTTCCTTGGAAATATCAATTCTCATCCCTTTGAAAACCTCATTTTGGTTTTGTCTGTTCTATGTGTGTTTTTAGTGAGAGCACAATAAATTGCAGAGCACTGTGCCAAGTGCTATAGGTAAGGAGTACAAAATGAATGTTGTAAAGTTATTTTTCATGTGGTTTCTGATAAACACATTTAAAAAAATCTCCATCTCAGCAATACAGGTTGGTTAGCTTTGCCTGGGAAAAAGTGTTTCAAACACCTGGTAAGAGTAGCATTTCTCCTCCCAAGAGTCACTGTTCAACATAAACGTGACTATAAGAATGAAGTATCTAAGGCACTTATTACTGCATAGATTGTTGGGTATCGAAGAATGAGAGACTGCAAATCATTCATAATAGCCTTTGATTATACGCTAGATGAGGGAGTGGGAACACTTGGCAGGTCTAGGATTCTCTGATCTCTGCTCTAAACTGCCTTATCTGAACAGAAATCTTGTGACACTGAGTACTATTACTGAACCAGCCTGTGTGCTAGGCATCCATTATCAAAACTTTCCTCTCACTTGGTAGGTGCCATCTGATTAAAAAAGAAGAAAGGTCATTTTAATTTCTTGGGATAATCACAGAAAATTGCAGCCCATCTCTTTATTACTGAATTCAAGTTTAGAAGCAGCCTCTTGGTTTTAAATGTTGATCCCAACCATTTACTTAGGTCATTTTTCCTAGTCTTGAGTTGCAGAAAAGAACCCTGAAAACCTGATAGGATTTTGCAGTATGAGGCAGGGGAAGACCACTTTACCAGAGGCAACCTTCATTGTGCTTGACATTTCCTGGGCTTCACTGGATTATGAATGTATGGTGACTGTGTGGCCATCTGGCCAGTACCAAGCAGCTCTGCTTTTATTTCTTTTTCTTTAAAGAGGGAAAAGAGACACAATTAAATCTTTGCCTTGACAGACACAATTAAAGCTCATGTGTTAACTGTTCCTGTGCTCCTACATTAAATGCCTTGAGTAAGTGGGTAAATGGACATGTGCTTAGCTCACATATTTTGCAACAGAAAGATCAGACTTCCGTATGGCATTGTTGGATTTCAGAGGCTTGCTGTTAGAGCTGTAAATGTGAGTGTTGCCTTTAGCTTTTCAGTCTGTATAACCGTGTGGTTCATGCTGCCAGTGAAATAAGGAAGCAGTACAGTGCTGAAGCACTTCATTTGTCTTCCTGATCCTTGAGCTTTATTTCATGTGTCAGTGTTCACATACTTCTATATTTTCTGTGAAAGAAAAGGCTAAATAAATCTTGGCAGTTTTATTTTCCTTTTCTTAAGGTATCATTTTTTCATTTGCTTTCAGCTTTTAAATCTTTGCTGATTTTGGAAATTGATGGAGCTTATTTCCTGTCCCCCATCCCATGCTCAGTGCATGGGCCTGCTGTCTATTCACCAAACAGCCCATAATGCTTATCCTGAAAACTTCAGGAAGAAGCCTTTGGGAAACTCAGAATTAATTTTATTTCACTATGGAAGAACCAAACCTAATAGAAATTGATGCTTGAATATTGTGCTTAAAAGAGATGATGTTCCTACTTCCATCTTACATTTTTGGATTGGCAATCTGTAGACTGAGAAAGACTAATTTTCATAGACATCCTGAAGGCTGTCAAGAGGAACAAAACTTTTTTTGTAAATGGATTTCTAACATCATTCCTATACCTTCCACCTTATACCCAGTAACTTCTGGAGGCCATCTGGTCTTTATACTATTGGTTATCATTTTTCTTTCTGTCAGACCCAAAATATCCTTGAGACTTGGTTTGATTTATTTCTCCCATGTTGTTTTAGCAATGAATGTTTTTATTAGTTTACTTTTAAGAGAAAGAAGCCCACAGCATTCGGTTTTGTTTTTTTTCCCTTTGGCTCATCTAAAATGTCATCTTTTTCTCTGTTTATCTGTTAATCTACTTTTGGGACTTTGTCTCTCTCTCCTAAGAAGCCTCTCTAGACTTCAGATCTCAGTGATTACTTCCTTTTCTGAATCCTCTTGAGTACATAGTACCTTGACTAAGGTATAGAACCTTACCATAGGAACCTTGCAAACCTACTTCCCAAGAATGTTGTTGGCAGTTGTGTGGCAAACATCATGCCATGTTCCTGTGTGTTCCCATGCTCAGCATGATTTCCTGAGCATTTTGGTACTGTACATTTTTATTGTTAATGAAGAAAGAAAAGAAAGAAGCTTAGAACTAGTATTCAGCTGTTGCTTTCAATTTGGTATGGATTCTTAGACCATAGAAAATTCAGCAAGTCATAAATTTTGAAGAACAAAAAGGATAATTTGCAAATGAAGCTTAGTATGTATGTAGTTTAGCAGTTTTGAAATGCATAAGTATTTTGAACAGAAACAGATTCTCAGGGTAGCTTCTTAAAAGAAAGACAGGACACGTTCATTGAATATTTCTGCTACTTGATGTTGGAGGGCCAGACTTGGTACAGGAGACCCCTGAACAAATCTGGGTCTTTCTGATCTGCCTTTCTTGCAGGTATGAGGAGCACGTAGATCCTGCCTCCTACGTGCTCGGCTAGGGACAGAATATTGGCTGCAAGGTGAACTTGTAGTCATATATTCTGATTGAATAATAAAGTATCAAGTGATATTTTAAACCTGAAAACTGTTTTGGCTCTCTTTAGCTGTGGAGTTCAGCCTGGTCTTAACATTTAAACAAATTATAACCAACACATTTGATAATGAGGGAAATTCAGATTAGGGATGTGAGATTATAGAATTGTAGTAACAAGGACAACCTGGGAACTTCTGATAGTAGCTCTGTAGAATAAATGACTTGTGTTTAACAATGGGGTTTATATAGCATTTTACCTGAGTGTGAGCTTGTATATTAAAATTTAGGTGAGTCTTCAAGTATCTTTGTAAAATACTTCAAAGTAGACAGGCTTTTTGTTGGCTTTCACTTTTGTTTTCTAATTTCTGGGCTTATTCTGTCATTCCATGACATCTGCTTTTATATAAAAGTATAAAGCAGGTGACTTTGCTGGTCCTGCGAGCCAGAGTATGTGATTCGAGACAGACTTCTGGCTAGGGTTTTTCTGAGACCCATGACCATGAATTCCAGATAGGACCTGC